TGGGCAGCCCTGCCCTGGTGAACACTTAAGGCTCTGCTCCTCTTATGAAATGGGCGCAAACAGACCAAACACGGCTCAAGAAGAACTCAAAGGCCCAGAGCCCATAATTCTAAGTGACGAAGAAATAACCAAACTTTCAGATGCACAGTTCATAACACTGGTGATCAGGATGCTCACAGAACTGGTTGATTTTAGTCACAAATTAGAGGAACAAATGAAGGCTAAAGTAATTGAAATGAAGGGAAATGCACAGGAAAGAAATGGTGATGGAAAGGAAACTGGAACTCAAGAGAGTGGACCAGAAGGGATAAAAAAATGACCAAACAGGAAAATATGAAGAAACAAGAATTCAAAAAATGAGGAGAGGCTTAGGAACCTCCAGGACATCTTTAAACGCTCCAACATCCGAATTATAGGAGTACCAGAAGGGGAAGAGGAACAGCCACCAGTGGAAAGCTTATTTGAACAAATAAAAAAGGAGAATTTCCCCAATCTGGCAAAGGAAATAGACTTCCAGGAAATCCAGGAAGCTCAGAGAGTCCCAAACAAGTTGGACCCAAGAAGCAACACACCAAGGCACATCATAATTACATTAGCCAAGATTAAAATGAAGGAGAGAATCCTAGAAGCAGCAAGAGGTAAGGGGACAGTCACCTACAAAGGAGTTCCCATCAGACTGTCAGCAGATTTCTCAAAAGAGACCATACAGGCAAGAAGGGGCTGGAAAGAAGTATTCCAAGTCATGAAATCCAAAGACCTACAACCAAGATTGCTCTATCCAGCAAAGCTTTCATTTAGAATGGAAGGACAGATAAAGTGCTTCTCAGATAAAGTCAAATTCAAGGAGTTCATCATCACCAAGCCCTTATTATATGAAATGTTAAAGGGACTTACCTAAGAAAAAGAAGATAAAAAAAAGAACAGTAAAAGGACAGCAAACTCACAGTTATTAACAACCACACCTAAAACAAAAGCAAACTAAGAGGACAGGAAGATCAGGAGCAAACCATAGAAATGAAGATCTCATGGAGAGTTAGCAACAGGGGAGTGGGAGGAGGAGAAGGGGGGAGAAGGTACAGAAAATAAGTAGCATATACAGTAGATAGAAAATAGATGGGGGGGGCAAGAATAGCATGGGAAATACAGAATCTAAAGAACTTGACACGCATGGTCATAAACTAAAGGGGGGAATGGTGGGGGAGGGGTGTGCAGGGTGGAGGAGAATTAAGGGGGGAATAGAACAACTGTAATAGTATAATCAATAAAATTAAAAATAAATATAAAAAATGTCAGGGGCTTGATCCCGGTTGACACGTAGATTTTCAATTCCTAGTTCGAGGAGTTCCTGGGACTGTCCAGTAGAGGGAGCCCTTGCCTCTCAAGTATTTTCTGGAGCATGAGAATGTGCTGCAGTTGTGGGTGTGTCTGTAACCCAACAGGTAAATGAACGGTAGGGACCTCTAGGATCGGGAGAGGGTCTTCACCACCGCAGCTTCAATGAGTGATTCCACTTTGCTGACCACTGCTCTCAGGAAGCATTCCTTGTAGTGAAATTATCTCCAAATTCAGACCATCACTTTTAGATAAATACCCTAAGATATCCACTTGCTTATAACTTAACACCCTACACAACAGGGCACTGGATTTTGTTACTTTGAGGAACATAATAAATTTCTCTTTCCTCAGAGTTAGATTAGTGAGGAATGGCTTTTGGCAAGATCATTTTATGGCTTTGGTGGGTGTGTACTGGCCTCCCCCCGCCCCACTTTAAATTTTTGCAGGCACAGGGTGTCATGTCTGTCCTGTGGATTGTCATTTTGTGTTGTAGCAGATGGCAAGTCATTGTCTGGGGAAGTCTTGGGGCTTTTCAGCAGAAAACTCCATGGACCACCTTGACGTTGGGATGGTCATTCAGGAGAGGCACACGTGCAAATTAATACCCTGCATTCTCATAAGTAGCCTCTCATGGGGAAGAAGTCCATACCCACTTTGGAGATTATTTCCATTCAGTATAGCCCCACGTGAATTTCTAAGTTAAATAGTATTAATGTTTTTAGCCGTGGTTGCTGTGCTGTGCTCAGAGGATTGAATGCCACCCTGTGAACCAAAGGGTTGCTGGTTCGATCCCAAGTCAGGGCGCATGCCTGGGTTGTGGGCCAGGTCCCCAGTAAGGGGGTGTGTCACACATTGATGTGTCTCTCCCTCTCTACCTTCCTGTCTCTCTAAAAAATCTTTTTAAAAAATAGTATTAATGTTTTTAAACCTCTTGAAGATGCAGTTGACTGAATTTATTTTAGGATGAGTTGTAATATTTACACTAGTGCCTTAACTTTATTTGTATTTGGTGTTCCATGGCCTTTTATTCTGTGCCATTTAATAAATGAAAACCAGAACACTGGTCTGATATTTCTGACTTTAAATATTAGGGAGGTGGAACATTTTTCAGTTATTTGTCATTTATATATTCTGTGGGTTTTCTTTTTTTGGGTCATTTGATAACTTTAACCATTTAGTTTAAGGAAGGTTTTTTTTTTTTTCGTCCATTGTACAATAAACCTTGCATTAGACATTTATCTACATTGTAGTTCACATAAATGGGTCTTGTGTTTGTTCCCATTGCTTCTAACCCTACTTGTCCCTGGCTTTTATGTTTTGCCTTCTGCTTTCCTAACAAGCAGCTGTCTCCTCAAACGTTTCAGCTGACTATCTGGCCAATTTAATTTCTTTATTCTTAAAATTGCATTGTTATAGTACTTCACCTCACTACAGTTCAGTCCCATTCAGGTAGTAAGCTCTTGGCGTTACTGGAAAATTCTGCTTGCGTCTGGTCACGTAGGCGACCCTGGAGGTGGAGGGTTGGACTTCGCAAGCTTATCTTTCTACGTCATGTGGCACCAGACATACGGTGCTACTTTCCGGGGCCGGTACACACAGAGAAACTTGCTCATGCACTGCTTGCGGAAGTGATTTAGAGAAAACCATAGGAACGGTGATACATGGAACAAACAGTGCTGGGCCCGCGTGGCACGTGACTGGCCCAGCAAAGCCTCTGAGGGGATAGCTCTCAGCTGGGGTTCCAATGTCGCCTTCCATGGCCTCTTGCTGTTGTCCAAATCACTGAATATAGAACTCGGGGCAGGAGCGCCATACTCCCTGACCCCACGTTTGCAAGAAGCTCCCCCAGAATTTCCGGTCACTTGGACAACTCGGCCTAAGATTCGCTGTAGCCAGGCACGTTCAGGGCCAGTAGTGCTAGACTCGGTTCTGCGTGGGCTGGGCCAGGCAGTACCCAGCATCCTGGGAGCCCACCTCTTACTATAGAACCTTTTTTTCTACGTGCCAACGGACTGGACTTTCAGAAGAGGTTTCACCCTGTGCTGTGATGTAAGAGGAAACGAGGAACGTTTGGGCGGTAAAATTATGGGCAAACTTTACGAAGCAAGTTGTAGCCACATCCCAGGTATTCGAGGTGTGAAGTTCCCTTATACACTGTGCCGCGGCAGAAGCAGGACCGGCCACTAGGTGGCAGACGAGTTCCACTCACCTGTGACCTGCTTGCTCGAACTTCACCTGTGCAGCGAAGGCAGGTTAGGGTTGGGGCTCTTGATCCTATAGGACAGTAGGGGTGGACACAGTGCTGATGATCCCTGCCCACTTGAAGGGAGTAGAGGCTTCAGGAAACCTTGTGTCCACGGGCTAGGTGTGGGCCTGAATATCTTTCCCCAAATCACCCAGGACCGTTCACTCGTCTCTTGTGATACCCCCCACACCAAGCCCTGCACCCTAGGGTGCAGACCTGGCCTGCTGACCTCTCCTGCGTGTTAAGATTCATCCCCACCACCACCAGGAAGGCCGCTTAGCTTTCCTTGTTCCTAGGTACCCACCCCTACCTGCAAACTGTGAGATCCTTAGTCCATTGGGAGCTGTCGCTCTCCTTTTGCCTATTACAAGCCTGGGTATTTTTGCAGGGAATGTGTCCGACCCAAGATCAGTGTGTCAATAAAACCCAAATCCCCCCGAGCTGCTGGACACCCACCACAGGCCACAGGTCTGTCAGATGCCCCTTTGGCCAATTTATTAAGATGCCTGCATACCTTCAGCTCTGCAGGTGAGTGGCCCTGCTTCCCCACAGAAGCTTAAGAAAACGAGCTGCCTGACAGTCCCACTTGATTGACTTGGCACCAGCCTGAGCCGTGGAATTAATCTGTGTGAGGGTAAACACCCACAAAACGGAAGTCGTAAACCTGCTCTGAAAGATGATGGTGAGGATGAAATGATGTGAGATGTGTACGACCCTGTGAAGTTTTGCTGTTGGTTTCATGTGAACCTTAGGTCTCACCACCCGTTAGAATCTGTGTGTCGTGAGGAAGATGTAGCTCTGTCCTTGAAACAGAGTTTCCCTCCTGGGGCACCTGCTATCCCTGTTAGGAGTCTGCATGCTTGAGTTTGTTCAGAGAGTAAAAAACGCAGCCCCCAACATCCAGAGCAGAAATTAGAATGAAGACAAACACGTCCATGTTATGCTGAAAGTATATTTATATATATAGATATAGATATTTATTTCTCTGCAGACAGCTTTACTGATGAGTCATTTTCACATTCAAAGAACAGCCTATTTCAATACTACATAATCTGTACCAGAATGAGATGGGTAGCTTTTTGATTTAGTTCACAAAGCCAGCACAGCTCTGATACGGAAACATAACGATTATACCAAAACATAACAATTGGAACACAAAACAGAATCACAGATCTCACTTAAAATACAAATGCCAAAATACTCCAGAGAACAGTAGCCAATTGAAATCAACACCACGTGAAATGTACAAAGCTTTGGCAGATACAGAACCAAGTCGAAACCCAGATTTACACATACAGAACTGGAACGTAAACACCAGAATGAAACGTCTCCCCCCACCCCGAGCACACACACACACGCACACCCTGTCAGGGGCCTTTTGGCCAGGGACACAAAGGACAGAGATACTTGTTAAACCTCTTTAGCAGGGAGGGGGGCTGCTGGGGGGACCCCCAGCTTTATCATCAGGGCCCGGCTCATCTTCCTCCCAGTCTTCAGCCTCACATTCTTCCAGGGCTTCGAAGTACTGGAATGGCCAGCACTGAGGATCTTTCTTATGGAGCCTGGCCAAAAATCTCAGAACAAGCATCTTGCTGGTTTCGAGGAATGCTCGGGGGCCCCAGAGGAACTCATATTGTGCAGGCTCAGTATTGGGGACCCGCCTGTACTCTAGGTATTTCTGCCTGACAAACACCTCAGTGATGAGCTTCTTCGTGTTTCCGAAGAGACCATGGGTCTCCCGGACATCCACCCCCAGCTTGTACAGCAGGTTAAAGATCAGCTCCTCCCGGACACAGTTGCCCTTAATAAAGATCAGGCTCAGGACCACCATCAGAAGGCCAAACTTAGGGGTGTCTAGGTAGGAAGGCCCCGGCTCCCCCTGGTAACGCCCCAGCTTGTTGATGATAATGTAAGAGTGGGTCTGGGGGTCAATTTCCTTCAACTGATAACCAAAGATGCACTCTAGCTTATTGTTGGCACGTCTGATGATCTCCAAGCATTCATCTTTGTATTCACGAATGATGAATTTCACCATCTCTGAGCGCTTGACGGGCACCTTGGCTCGGTCCTTGACCAAGAGAAACTGCACCAAAGCATTGGCTCTCTCATCCAAGGGAGACAAGGGCTGGGCCTCCAGCTTGGGGTCACTCGAGGAGGCCCCGAAGCCCAGAGAGAGACCAGGGAACTCAGAAATGATGAAAGGCTGGGGACTGCCTAGGCTTTCCCAGAGACCCAGGGCCCTAGCAGTGCCGGGCCCCTCCCAGGCACTCAGGGCCCAGGACGAGCCCGGTCCCTCCCAGCCACTGAGGACCCTGGAGGTGCTTGGGCCCTCCCAGCCACTCAGGCCATAGACGGTGTTTGGGTCCTGCCAGTCACCCAGGACCTGGAAAGGGTTTTGAACCTGCCAGTCATTCAAGTTCACGTTTCCCCAGGGCCTGGGGGCCTGCCAGTCAAGCAGGCCCGGCATCCGGTTGCCATCCTCCTCAGTGTTCAGGTGCTTCTTCTTCCGGGTGGCCTTGCCGGAGCGACGCGGTGGCTCGTCCGGGGTCTTTGAGGCCTCGTGGGTGGTGGCTATGGCCTGGGGGGCGGCGGCCGTGCCCATCAGCATGGTGGGCACTGCCTTGGACACCCTGGGCACACTGGCACTGGGCTGTGGCACCCACGGGATGGCTGGCAGGGCCTCCACGTAGGCAAAGGGATCCTTCGGAGCCAGTGGCAGTGACTTTGGGGTCTCCAAGACGGCAGACGGGCCCATGAAGGCATTCGACGAGGCAGGCTGGAGCTGGGAGGTAGCGGGAAAGCCCCTCGAGGCGGCAGTGTAGGTCTCCGGTGTGGCTGGCAAGTTCTTCCAGGCAGTGGGCAGGTGTGCACGGGCTGCGGACGAGACCTTGGGGGCACAGAAGGTGGCGGCGAAGATGGTGCGGTCCTTGGAAGGGGCCCTGCGCTCCTTGGAAGGGGCCCTGCGCTCCTTGGACGAGGTTCTGCGGTCCATGGAAGAGGCCCTGGGTTCTCCTGACACAGCCGTCAGTGATTTAGCAGAGCCCATGGGGAAATTTGCCACCACTAAGGGGGCTCCAGGCTGGCCCTGCAAGGTGGCAGGGGGCCCCTGCCAGGGAGGCTGGAGGTGTAAGGTGGGCAGCTCTGCTTGCAGGCCCGAGGGCTGAGCCTGCTGGGCAGATAGCTGGATCTGCAGAGCCTTTTGGGAGGCTGGGACCCCCTGAAAGGGCTGCTCTACCTGGACCAGAGGAGGGCCCTGCCTCTGAGCCTCCTGGGTGGGTAAGGGCTGCCAGAAGTGCCCGGGGGCCTTGGGGGCCTGCCAGGCCAGCACCTGGGCTTGCTGTACCTCCTGGAACTCCATCGACGTGGTCATCTCCTGTGGCACCGGTGCTTGGCCTTTGGGGGCCTGCCAGATGATGGGCGGGCAGTGCACAGCCTGCTGGGCCGACAGCGGGGCCGACAGCGCGGCGGACAGCGCAGACTGGGGCACCTGCGGGCTGGTGGGAGGTGCCGAGGGCATCTGCGTTGCCGGAGGGGCCGTGGGCATCTGCGGGGCCGTGGGCATCTGGTGGGCCACAGCCACCTGTGGGGCCATCCTCACCTGCGGGGCTGCCCGGACCTGCGGGGCCGCCCGCATCTGGGGGGCTGCCCGCAGCTGCGGGGTGGGCAGCCGAGCCTGAGGAGCCTGCCGCAGAGGTGGTGGGGGCGGCAGGGCCTGCCAGAGCGGAGGTGGCGTGGTCATCACCTGCGGGGCAGGCCGGATAGGCGGCGGCGACTGGCGGATCAGCGGCGGTGCCTGGCGGATTTGGGGTGGCCCCTGGCGCACCGGCGGGGGCCCTGGGCGGATGGGTGGCGGGCCTGGGCGGATGGGCGGTGGACCCTGGCGCACGGATGGCTGCGCCTGCCAGGCAATGGTCGGAGCCTGCCAGGTGACCTGTGTGGCCTGCCAGGCCAGGGGTGTGGCCTGCCAGCCCTGTGCAGGGCCCTGCCAGCCCGGCGAGGTGGCCTGCCAGCCCGGGGGTGTGGCTAGCTGGGCTGGCGGGGCCTGCGGGCTCTGGGGAACCTGCGCAGGAGCCCTTATAACCTGGGACTGGATTTGCAGAATCAGAGGCTGAGCCTGTGGGGCCCAGGAAGCCAGGGGCTGCGCAGGTGGGGCCGTCGGCTGTGCCATCGGGGCCGGCGAGGCTGCAGGCTGGTTGACGGGAGCTCTTGACCCCGAAGGATGGATCATCAGGACGCCCGGACCTGGAGGCTTGGCCAGCGCGGCTCCCGGAGGCGGAGGCTGTGCCAGCAGGGCTGCTGGGGGCGGAGGCTGGGCCATCGCAGCTCCCGGAGCGCTCGGCTGGACCATCAGGACCCCCGGCGTCAGCGGCTGGGCCATCAGGACTCCCGGCGCTGGAGGCTGGGCCATCGGTGTCCCCGGAGGAGCAGGATGGGCCATCGGCGTCCCCGGAGGGGCAGGATGCACCATCGGGGTCCCCGGAGGGGCAGGATGCGCCATTGGGGTCCCCGGAGGAGCAGGATGGGCCAGTGGGGTCCCCGGAGGGGCAGGATGCGCCAGGGGGGCCCCGGGAGCCGAAGGGTGCATCATCAGGACCCCCGGAGTCGGAGGCTGGGCCATCGCGGCCCCCGGAGGATGGATCATCAGGACCCCGGGAGTCGGGGGCTTGCCCATCGGCCCTCCCAGAGGGGCAGCCTGGACCAGCGGGGCCCCCAGGGCCGGTGTCTGGGTCATCGCGGCCACGGGGGCAGGCGGCTGGCCCTGCGGGCCCTCCCAGGCAGGTTGTGGTGCCTGCCAGGCGGCCAGCGAAGCCTGCAAATCAATCGGAGGTGGATCCCAAGGGACCGGCGGAGCCCGGGAGGAGGCGGGCGGAGCCCGCATCAGAACCGTGGGGCGGCTATAGACCGGAGGCTTGGGAGCCTCCGCCGGGGGACTGGAATCACCCAGATTCTTACTTAGCTGCGACATGTCCGTTGGCTCTGGCAGCCGGTGGGCCGTGTCCTCCGACAGCTGCGGGCCTTTTCCTCCAGAGAGAAGAGAATGCCTACGTGGCCGAGCAGAGGATCGCTCCCTGCTGACTGGTGAATAGGAAGTCAGCGCCTTTAGCTCTGCAGCTTTCCGCAGTGAGGAGGAGGGGGGACGGGGGCTCAATCCCGCCCCTTCCCCGCCCCCGACCACCGCAAGTGGATCTTGCACAGGGGCGTCTACCAGCAGCCCCGGCGGACACAAGACACCTCTGCTCTCTGTCCCTTCCCCAAATGCCGCCCGGTCGGACTGTCCAGGGATGAGTTTTCACAGAGGGGGTGACAGGCGCGTGCGTGGGCCCCGGAAACCCCCCGCCCCGCAGCGCCAAGTGGGAGCGGACCACTGCGAACATGGGGGCACCCGTGGGAGGGGGAGCGGGCGCGCTCTGAGCTCAGAGGCAGCGGAGCCGCAGCCGCAGGATGCGAGGCGCGCGTGTGTGCGTGTGTGTGCGTGCGTGTGTGTGTTTGTACACAGTTCAAGGGTCATGCTGGGCAGCTTATCTAACCTGAGAGTAAAAGAGACGGGGGGAGGCATAGAATTCCGTCCCGGGGGAGTGGAGGACAGCTGCTGTCACTTATTCTCAGGCGGGGGGGGGCGGGTACGGTGGGGCGCACATGGGAAGAGGAGCTGATGGGCATCAGCGGGGATGGGCGGCTGTGGTGCGGGGGTGGGGCTGCCAGGACCGCTGTCCGGCGGGCACTGTCTCAGGACTGCTCGAGACTCGCAGAGGGCAGGGGTGGCAGTGGGGTGCCCCCCAGGAACGCAGCTGTGGCAGGGAGAGAGGTTCCAAAGCCGTGTGTGCTCAGGAGCTGCGTCTTGGGGGATCCAGGCATTTTTCGGGCTGGGGCAGAGAGGACGGGTGGCAGAGAAGACAAGGGAAGAAATGCTGGGAATTCAGATGTTGCAGACTTCGAGGGAAGGCAGCGTTTTTAGGACGGGGGAGGTGGGTAATTCCCAGGCGAGGCTGGGATGAAAGGCTCAGTCTCTTGGTGCTTTTCATCCGTTGCAGAGCGGGACAGAAACTGTGAAGAGGAAAACTCAAAAATACAGGAGAGAAATGATAAAGTGGGTGGATAAATAGGTCCCAGGTTAACAGATAGGAAACACAGGAAGAATAAAACACAGAAGTTGGAGAAAATTTCCTCATAAACACAGTTTTAAAAAATTAGGTGATGAATTAAAAGATAAACGAAAAGACAAACATTCGTCGGTGACCCTTTACTACCTCCTGCTGAAAGGGAAGGACAGTCTCAGCTCTCCTTGGATACTTTTCTGGAAATCGATAAAATCCTAAATACCAAGGAGATTTAGTTTAGAAGAGGGTGTTTGCACTTTAGGGCGAGAGTCCAGAGTGACCAAAAAGCATGGAAATGCCACCAGGGGGCACAAGAGAATGGTGGAGTTTACCCCCCTCCCCTTCCCAGGTCCCCTTAGCCAGGCTTCTCAAACTTGTTTCTTGGTCGTTTCTGAATCCCAATGAAAGCAGGTGTGCACTGCTAAGGTGGTCGTTATTGTCTCATTCTTCAAGGTGGTCCTTGGAGAATGAGAGAATAATTTGAGAATGAGGTATTGGCTGTTTTTCTGACAGTTGAAGGGACCAGAAATCAGAGCTGCTGTGCCCAGGCTGCTGTGGTGCCTGACACGTGTCACCAAAATGCATTGCCCCCAGAATGATGCTTCCACAGAAAGGACACTGCCATAATTTGTGACTTCTAGGTCCCTCTTGGGGGTTGTTCGCCCTTATTCGATTTCTGCATTGGCTCAGGGGTCAGAACCACTTCAGCGAGGTCAACCCTAGACATAATTCTCATGCTCCCCTATCACCCAGTCTGCCCCTCACAGTACCCCCCTCCCTGGATGTGGAGAACTTTGGGAAAGTCAGCTCATAGTTCCAAGTCTGTGTCAGCCTACAGCATTTCTACTCTCTTTAAAGCGTCCTTCTTTCCTTCTCCGATTCAAACGGATACATCACCCAGAGATGGAGTTCTTCTACTAACTATTTCTTTTTTCAGGATCGTGGCAAGTTCAACCTCCAGTGCCCTGTGATGTTGAATCATCTTATACCATAAACAGTGACCAGTTGGGCCCCACTGTTTTCTTGGATGTTGGAGCTCAATGAATAGCATTGCTACCCAGTGTCAACTCCCCTCAAACCCATTATGTGGAAGTGGGTCTTATCGATGCCAACAGGCAATCCAGGAGCCCAAAAAGGAAGTATTGGGAATTGTAGAAGGGGAAAAAAACCACCTTGTAGGCGCCCTTAGAAATGGCAGGAAGACAAGTCACACTTGGCAACCTTCTTGAACCAGTGAAAGAAAATCGGGGAACAATTATCCATGTCTCTCTGTTGGGGCCAGTAATTGTGGCTGAGTGGGGTGTTTTCTTCTCTAGAAAATACACCTTCCTGTTTTAGACAGTCGGCACTCTCACGCCCAGGCCGCATGACAGGCCAGCTACCCCCTGCTTACTGACTCCACGGGAAACACACCCGAGGTACCAAGTGACATGTAGCCCCTTAGCAAAAATCAGCTGCTTAGACACCATCAAAGCCCAACACTCTCCTGAGTCCAGTGGAGAATTTGGATCACAAGCTTGAAGTAGATCTTGCCAACCCCCTTCTCTTTGTCGAATCTTGCTCTCTGAAGCCCCCACCACTCTTTGGAAACATTTTTTCTTTATTGATTCTTAGAGGAAGAGGAAGGGAGAAAGAGAGAGAGAGACAGCAGTTTGTTGTTCCACTTATGGATGCATTCAGTGGCTGATTCTTGTTTGTGTCCTGACCGGGGATGGAAGCTGCCACCTTGGCATGTTAGGACGACGCTCCAACCAACCGAGCCACCTGGCCAGGCCACCCCCCACCCCCGACACTCTTGTTTACGTGGTCTTTGTGCTCCAGATACCAAAGTCCCCTTTCCCCATGAAATGGCTTAAAAGTCCAAGGTGAGCGGTAAGCAAAAAGCAGATATATAGAAAACATCCTTGGAGTACATGCGTCTGTTTGTCTTCTGACGAAAAAGGACTTTGTTACTTGCGTAAGTAGATAAGGAGAGGGGAACAAGTAATGCAAAAACCTGTGGAAAGCACTGAGGATCAACAAGTAGGAAAATCACCGAGCCAGGGTGTGGAGATTTGGTGCATTTATTTATTGTCTGTATCATCACAAGGAAGGACCCTCCAAGTGGGCTGGCACCTTGCTTTGCTCACCTGCATATGCCCAGCTCATCCTGAGTGATCAGTAAGGAGCCGTGGAATAAAAGTGTAAAACCAGCCCCAGAATTGCCTACTTTTCACCTCCCTATCACCGTTAGGCTTAGTGTACATATTTCTTTTTAAAGTTAATTTAAGAAAGAGAGAGAAACATCAACTTGTTGTTCCCCTTATTGATGCACACTCATTGGTTGCTTCTTGACTGTGCCCTGACTGGGGATTGAACCCATAACTTTGATGCATCAGGATGATGCTCTAACCAACTGAGCTACCCAGCCATGGCCAGTCTACATATTTAGAAGTGAGTAAAATAATCAGTGACAATTTTCAAAAAGTCCAAAGTCAGTTATTCACGAAATTCCTTTCCTAGGGACTCATTTTATGTCTAACATCGTGCTATGCATAGAGCTCCAGAGAAACATCAGATGCCAGATCTCACAGACAAATATGGTCTTAATGTGGTATTTTTAGTGCAATGAAGTGCTATTGTTTGCATTGTTACACACTCATATTGGTCAAGATAGTTGCAAAAAACTGAACACTCCCTTCTGTTTGGAGTATTGAGGGTGTGATGCTGGCTAGAGCAAAGCACAGAGAAAAAGAACAATTCTAAAGATGTGGAGATTTCATCAGTGTTCTCCAAAGAGACTGAACACTAAAAGAAAAAAAAAGACACCAAGTATAGCAGAAGTACAAGGCATTTGAAAGAAGTGCAAGGAGTTCATTAAATATTGTAACTACTATTGAATGGTTCTTATTTGATCAAATACCATCCTGAAAAGTTCACAAACATTGTACACGCCTCACAAAATCCACGGGTGTTTGGCCCCATTTTCCATGTCGAGAAACTGAAGCTGAGGGTGGTAATTAGCTTGTCACAGAGTTGGCGACCTCCGTCTGGAACTGAAGCCTGGTTTACGGGCTGCCAAGAGCCACATCCTTAACCACGATGCCCAGTCTGCCAAAACCTCCTAAAAATTGTTAGCTATAATTAACACCCAACGACAGGCATAGGTCTACATTATTCTGTTTAATGAGCTTTGTCACTGCGTTCCCATCTCTCAAAATGAGATAAGGAACATTTTCTTGGTCTTCCTCCAAAAGTGCCCAAAACTAATTCGAAAAGACATATGCATCCTTAGGTTCACTGCAGCATTATTTACAATCGCCAAGATACGGAAGCAGCATAAGTGCCCATCAACAGACAAATGGATAGAGAAGATGCGGTACAAATATGCAGTGGAATACTGCTTGACCATAAAAGACAAGGACCATTTGAGACAGCATGGGTGGACCTACAGAGTATTGTGCTAAGTCCAACTTGTCTGTTTGTGCTTCTGCTGCCTTTGCTTTTTGTATAACGCCCCCCCCCACACACACACCAAATTATTACCAATACAAATGCCAGGGGGCTTTTGCTGTATGTTTTCTTCTAGGAGTTTATGGTTTGAAGTCTTTAATCTATTTTGAGCTGACTTTTGTGTGTGATATAAGACAGTGGTTCAGCGGAGTTTTTTTTTTGCATGTGGTGTTCCATTTGCCCAGCACTGTGTATTGAAGACACTATCTGTTTCCCATTTGATGTTCTTGGTTCTCAGCTTCATTCTTGAGATGTATTCTTGCCAGCTAGAAATAATACATGAGCACTTTTATTTTTCCTTTCAGCACCCTAAAGACGTTATTCCATGGAATTGTAGCAAAAAAATCATTGTATGTGATGTTCCTCCCCACTCAGT